TCATAATGGATTTGCATAGGTTGTTTATATCTGTGTGTGTGTGCATGCAAATGTGTATGTGTGCTTGTGTGTGTGTACACGCAGAGAGGTTGAGGTTGATTTTGAGTGCCTTTCTCTGTTGTTCTCTAACTACTCTTCTATATAAGTCTGTGTATGTACTCATACCATCTTAGGGTTTTACTGCTGTGAAGAAAAACATAAAGGAAAACATTTAATCAGGGCTGGCTTACAGTTTCAGAGACTTAGTCCATTATTGTCATGGCAGGAAGCACGGTGGCATGCAGGCAGACATGGTGCTGGAGAAGGGGCTGAGAGTTCTACTTCTTGAACCACAGGCAGCAGGAGACTCAGACGCACTAGCCAGACTTGAGCTTCTGAGACCTGAACGCCTACCCGCAGTGAACCACGTCTTCCAGCAAGGCCACACCTCCTAATAGCATCACTCCCTATTGTAAAATCACTTATTATAGTCTAGCTAGCCTGTATAACAGACACACAATCCAGGTATTTTCTTTATAAGCTGTAAACCCAGGTTGGGCAGGTATGAGACTGTTCTAACTTACATCCCAGCCATGTGTCCCTTGTTACTTACAGTTTCTGTGACTTTGTGCTCATGGTTCATCTCCTCTCATTTCAGCTTCCTCCTCCTGCCTTCCATCTCCTTTCTTTCTCTGTCTCTGAGACCCCAGCCAGGTAACTGAAAACCCGCCTACCTCTATCTACTGCCCAATCACATGCTTTAGCCTTTTATTGACCAATTAACTTGGGGAGTAGGGTTATATAGCTCACTTTGTGTGTGTTAGGATCTAGTCACCAGGGATAACCAGATTGTGGGAGGCAATATTTAGCATTTGAATACATAGCAGCACCAGACCAATCCCAACACCCTATGACCAAACATTCAAACACATGAGTCTATGAAGGCTAAACCTATTCAAACCATCACATTCCACTCCCTGGCCCTTATAGGCTTGTAGCCCTAACATAATGCAAAATGAATTTAGTCCAACTTCAAAAGTCCCCATAGTCTATCACAGTTTCAACAATGTTTAAAAGTTCAAAGATCAAAGTTTCTTCTGAGATTCATGCAATCTCTTAACCGTAATACCCTATAAAGTCAAAAGCAAAAAGCAAATCAAATATTTCCAACATTTAATAGCACAGTATGTACATTACTTTTCCAAAAGGTAGGGAGAGGAGCATAGTGTGGAAATACTGGACCAAAGCAAGAGCAAAAACCAGCTGGGCAAACTCCAAACTCTGCTTCTCTATGTCTGAAGTCAAAGCGCTCTTCAGATCTCCAACTTCTTCAAGTGTTGTCGACGGCAGCACATTTCTCTCTCTTGGCTGGTTCCACTCTCTATTAGCAGCTTTTCTTGGCAGATATTCCATGACTTTGACATCTCCAGCATCTTGGGGTCTTCAACAAAATCCAGATTTCACCTTTACAGCTTCGCACAATAGCCTCTCTGAGCCTCCATGCAGGGACACCCTTGACACATGCCTGGCCTTAGTAGTCTTCCTTAGTCATAGAGGGAGATTCCATAACCCCTTTCCTCTAAAGCCAGAATGATACAGCCAAATTGCCAAGTTCTGCTGCTTGCTGGAGCTGGAACTTGGTTTCCTTCAAATATATCTTCACCAGCTTTCTGTTTTCATTGGTTTAGTTTCCTTCACTGTGTTAGCTTGGCTGTCCTGAACCTCGCTTTGTAGTCCAGGTTGGCCTTAAACTCAGAGATCCCCCTCCCTCTGCCTCCAGAGTACTGGGATTAAAGTCATGTACTAGTACACCTGGCTCTAAGCCTTTTATTTATTTGTTTGTTTGTTTATTTATGTTTTATGTATAAAATAATATCATCTTCAAATAAAGATATTGTCTCAGTTAGGGTTCACTGCTGTGAACAGATACCATGACCAAAGCAATTCTTATAAGGACAACATTTAATTGGGGCTGGTTTACAGGTTCAGAGTTTCAGTCCGTTATCAAGGCAGGAATATGGCAGCATCCAGGCAGGCATGGTGCAGGAGGAGCTGAGAGTTCTACATCTTCATATGAAGGCTGCTAGCAGAATACTGACTTCCAGGCAGCTAGGATGAGGGTCTTAAAGCCCACACCCACACACCTACTCCAAAAGGGCCACACCCTTTAATAGTACTACTCCCAGGGCCATCACAACAAACAATCACATCAAACAATCACAGAATTGTAGACTCTGTCCTTCCTGTTTTTTCCCCTTGGTCTTCAGTCATCTTATTGTCTAGCTAAGACCTCAAGTACTCTGTAGAAAAGGTATGGAGAGAATGGATGCCTTCTCTTGTTCCTGATGTTAGTGAAAATGCCTGAGTGTCTCCTGACTTAAGTTGATGTTGGTTTGGGGCTTGCTATATATCATCTTTATTGTGTTGAGGTATATGCCTTATATTTGTACACTCTTCAAGACTTTTATGATGAACAGATGTTGGATTTTGTCAAAGGCCTTTTCTGCATCTAATGAGATGATCATGTGGTTTTTGTCTTTTAGTCCATTATGTTATGTTGAACAATTCCTGCATTTCTGGGATGAAGCCTATTTGATATCTATCTATCTATCTATCTATCTATCTATCTATCTATCTATAATTTGATGTGTTCTTAGTTTGCAAGTATTATATTGAGAATGTTTGTGTATATGTTCAAAAGGAATATATTGGTCTGTAATTGTCTGTCTTTGTTGGGTCTTTGTGTGCTTTCGGTAGGGCTAATTGTGGACTTGTAGAAGAATTAGGCAGTGTTCCTTTAGTTCTAGTTTGTGGAATAATTTGAGTATTGGTGTTAATTCTTTGAAAATCTGGTAGAATTCTGTGCTGAATCCATTTAGGTATGGGCTCTTTTGATTGAGAGACTTTTAGATCTTCTATTTCAGTAGGGGTTATAGGTCTGTTTCATTTGCCCAGCTGATCTTGGTGTATCTTGAGTAAGTGGTGTATATTCTCATCCACCCTGCTTTGATAACTTTTTAAATTTATCTTGTGATTTTCTTAGTGACTCAGCTACTCATCTGTGTGTTGTGGGATCTTCATGGACTTATATTTCCTGTAGCTTTCCTTACTGCTTACTTCCAGTCTTATTCCACTGTGATCAGACAGATTGTAAGCAATTATTTCAGTTCTGTATTTGGTAAGACTTGTGGACTAGCCTGTGGTTGATGTTGGAGACATCCCGTGTGCTGCTAAGAACGCATATGCTGAATCTGTTGGATGTAATAGTTCGTGGATGTCTGTTATGTCCATTTGATCTATGGTGAGATTTAACTCTGAGAGTTTTTAGTTCTTTTATTTTCGATAAACTAAAGATGAGGGCAGGGTATTGAAGCCTCCCACTATTAGCCAAACAAGGACATATCTGAATTTGTATGTTCATTAGTGGTTTGGGGTGTATATGTGTGTGTGTCTGTGTGTGTACATGCTCACATGTGCAAAGTTAAGAAATCTAATATTTTTTTAACATATCTAATTACAGTGGCTGCTTTTTATTTTTTATTATTAATTATTACTATTATTATTATTTTGGTTTTTCGAGACAGGGTTTCTCTGTGTAGCCCTGGCTGTCCTGGAACTCACTCTGTAGACCAGGCTGGTCTCGAACTCAGAAATCCACCTGCCTCTGCCTCCCAAGTGCTGGGATTAAAGGCATGCACTACCACCGCCTGGCAATGTGGCTGCTTTTTAAAAAAAAAGATTTATTTTTATTTTACATATATGGAGTTTTGCCTGCATGTATGTCTTCACTCTGTGCTTGTAGTATCTGTGGAGGGAGAAGAGGGCATCAGAACCTCTGGAATTGGAGTTACAGATGATTGTGAGCCACTGTGTGGGTGCTAGGAAATGAACCTGGGTTCTCTGCAAGAGCAACACCACAGAGCCATCTCTGCACTCCCTTGTTTATCTCCCTCTTGATTTCTTCCCTTTAGTAAAATGTAGAAGCTGTCCTTAACTCTTTTGACTAATTAAGTCTGTGTTAGCCATATCAGAATTATATGGGTTTGTTTTTAACTGCATTCACTTGATAGATTGTCTCATGTCTGTGTGTGTCTCTGCAGTGAGATGTCATTTCTTTGGAATTGATATCTCTGGCTAGAATCATGGTGGCACAGCCTCAGAAAGTAGTGCGAGCAAGCACCTGGGAGGGTTTTGTTGTTGTTTTTTGGTTTTTGTTTTTTTGTTTTGACTTACTTTCTCTTTTGTGCTTGAGCATCCAGACTTTGTATTTCTTTCTTTCTTTTTTGGTTTTTTCGAGACAGGGTTTCTCTGTGTAGCCCTGGTTGTCCTGGAACTCACTCTGTAGACCAGGCTGGCCTCGAACTCAGAAATCCGCCTGCCTCTGCCTCCCAAGTGCTGGGATTAAAGGCGTGCGCCACCACTGCCCAGCTCAGACTTTGTATTTCTTTAGCACTGTTATAAGAGAACTTCATTTCCAGATTATTCTTAGGAACTAGCAAATCAGGATTATTGGCAGTTTACTTTGAAACATTTTCTTGGGCAGAGTTTTGCTCACCTTTTTTTTTTTTTTTTTTGGAAAAGATTTATTATGTTTTTACTCACATGAATGTGTGCTTCCTTGTAAGTGTGTGCACACATGTGGGCAGGTGTCCACAGAAGCCAAAAGAGGATGCTGGTTGCCATGGAGCTGGAGTCACTGTCATCTGTGAGCTGCCTTACCTGGGTGCTGGCACTTAGGCAGGAGCAGCACGTGCTCGTAAGCGCAGTGTCTCTCCAGCCGTGGTTACGTTCGTTCTACGTGTGGTGTATGCAGTGATTGACACTTTTGCATTTTTATTGGCTCTGATAGAATATAATCCCATTTCCTCCCTTGTGGTTTGTACCTGAGGTCCAGTGTATTTTCAAGTGAAGAAATGCGTGCCTTTAGAGGGGGCGCAGTTTTGTATGTCTGTCTAGCTCAGTGCTACAAATGGTGTGATGTTTATTTGAACAGTTGGAATAGTCTTTGCATTTTTTAATAGGTTCTCTTGTGGAAATGCCCATGTGAGGACGAGCTGCCTACCACGTAGAAGATGGGATCGAACAGCAGCAAGATCAGTGATCTTCCTAAAAACGAGTACTTAAAAAAGCTGTCAGGCCCCGAGTCGATCTCTGAGAACGACCCCTTCTGGAATCAGCTCTTCTCATTCTCTTTCCCTGCACCAACCAGCAGGTAAGACACTTCCCGGAGCCTGGGAATTCTGATGGCTGTCAACATGCCACCTCCCCGCGGGCTTTTACTCTGGTTGTCATATGCGTCAGTAGAAAGTCCAGAAGGGAGGAGCTGGGGTTTGTTTTATGTCTCTGTCTCCTTTATCCAGCGACATTTGCCAGCAGCAGCTCTTCTGTATCTTCAGAGGTAGTGTGAAGTTATTCCCACACATCCCGTTTAGTCTTACAATACAAACGATAGCATTATACCGTTTCTCCCTTCCCCTCTCAGGTCAGCTTTCTTTCTAATGCCTACAGAGTAGCCTTTAAACACATTTACTCAGCTTTCTACTTAAGGGCATGTAGACCTTCTAATGTTTTGTTAGCTCATAGCACAGAGTATATCATTTCACATGCATACACATTTATCTCTCCTATGAATGTTTTGAAGTGGAATGATGACTCTTTTTTTTTTTTTTGTTTTTTCGAGACAGGGTTTCTCTGTGTAGTTATTATTATTATCATTATTATTATTATTTTGGTTTTTTCGAGACAGGGTTTCTCTGTATAGCCCTGGCTGTCCTGGAACTCACTCTGTAGACCAGGCTGGCCTCGAACTCAGAAATCCACCTGCCTCTGCCTCCCAAGTGCTGGGATTAAAGGCGTGCGCCACCACCACCTGGCGAATGATGACTCTTGATACAGGAGCAGCTTTTGGGAGCTGGGCGGGCCAGGGGAAGCGCTTCCTCTCCTCTGTGTCTGACTTTTTGTTCCTTGCTGACTTTCTGGTTTCTGCCTGGGGGCTGTCCTGCACAACTGCAGCATAGTACATTTTGATTGTTTTACACCTCTGTGTTATGGCAACTTTATAGCCACAGTAGAAACTGATTTTTTTTTTTTTTATTATGAGCCACATGTCATTTCCCTGTTATAATTCAGTGTACAGTCGCTGAGTTACGTAGCACTGGGACAGTTTCAGATGATCATCTGAAGGGACTCCATCCTGTGCCCATTCGGAGTCCCTTCCTATTTCTCCCTCCCCTCCACCCAGTGTTAGCAAGCTTGAGAGTGCTAGCTGTTTCTTTCTAAATGGAATCTTGGTCTTTTGTGACCTGCTTCCTTTGCAGATGGTCTTGAGTAAGGACCACATTGCTTCTCAGGCCTTTTTATTGCTCAGACTCTGCCGTATGAATGTACGTTTTCTCTGTTCATTCATCAGATAAAGGGCATTTCTGGTATTTCTGTATTGGTGGAGCTTAGAATTTTTTGAGACAGGGTCTCATTATGAAGCCTTGACTGTTTGTTTAAGGCAGGGTCTCATGTAGCACAGGCTGGCTCCAAATTCTTCATGTTGCAGCCAATGACCTTAAACTCCTGATTTTCCTGCCTCTGCTTCCCCATGGCTGGGCTCACAGGTATGTATCACCATGCCTGGTTTCTCTGTCTTTTTTGTTGTTTGTTTGTTTAAGCATTTTGAAGTAAATTATTGAAAGAGGCAGGATGATTGATTGCTAGGGTCTGTACAGCCTGGGTTATATAGTAAAACCTTGTATAAAACCCCAAACCAACATGGGGCTGGAATGATGCTCCATGGTTAAGAATGCTTACCGCTCTTATAGAGGACCTAGTAAAGTACCTTCCCTGCACGTGTGAGGACTTAAATTTGGATCCCCAGCACTCATGCATTAGCATGGACAAAAACCTGCTGAGTGAGGTGGTGCATGCCTTTAATCCCAGCACCTGGGTAGCAGAGGTAGGTGGATCTCTGTGAGGCAAGTTTCAGGCCAGCCAGGATTATGTAGTAAGACTCTGCCTCAAAAAAACAAAACATGGCCATGACCGTTTGTGCCTGTAACTCTATTGTGAGGCAGGATGGGGACAGATGACCCCAGAGCTTGCTGGTCAGCCAGTCTAGCCAGTTGATGAGTTATGTGCGTGTGTGTGTAGGTGTGTTGCACACGTGTGCTCATGAGTGTAGAGATCGGAGGTCAGCCTCCAGAGTCATTCCTCAGGTGTTATCCATCTTACTTGTTTTTGGCGACAGGGTCTCTTGTGTAACTTGAACTTGTTGATTAGGTGAGGCTGGCTGACTGCTGAGCCTCAGGGCTCCACCTGGCTCCACCTCCCCAGTGCTGGGATTGAAGGAGCGTGCCACAACTCCTGGGTTTTTGGATAACAGGTGCGATGGACCCACACCCTCAAGAAAGTCTTTATTGACTGAACTGTCTCCTCAGCTCCCTTTTCATTTTTCTTAACGTCTTTAAAAACTGTTTATGTGGTTAATTTTATACAGGTTTCTAAAGTACATAATGGTGGTAAAACGCAGAATAAACCAGTGTTTATTATATTTTGATTTGTAGGTATCTGAATATGCTGGTGTGGAAGTGTGTGTGTGAGCATGTTTATAACATGTGCACCAAGGTTATCATTTAGAACTGTATGACCAGAGCTTTCTCGCTGTGTTGTGCTCTACTGTTTGTTTCTCAGGCCTTTATGGTGGACTAGGAAGATGGTACCATGTCCTCTCAAAGGGATATAATAGAGAGTGGAACATGATAAAGGTTGTTTGGAAGTGCAGGGAGCATGCACATTCCAGAAACATTGACCCCAAGCTAGAAGAACACAGTGCCGGGGAGCGGCGGCGAGGGGAGGAGGCTGGAAGACTTGAGAAGTTTTACAAAATGTTAAAGCTGTTTAAATTTTGTTCTAATATCTATTAAGGATTTTATCCAGAAGGGGTATGGCCACTCTTTCATCGTGCTTCATATTATAAGTATATCATCTTGTGAGACTATCGTTCAGTAAACATTACTTGTTGACAAGAAAGTTTTTATCTTTCTGAAAGTTAGTTCAGATGTAAAGTCAGATACAGATGCTGCAGACAAGTAGAAAGGAGGGCAGTCTGGGTGTGCTGGGTGGACAGTGATGGTTCTGGAAGATTCTACACGATTCTGGAAACTGGAAAGAACCAGAATAAGAACAGCCCCAAAGAAGGTGGATGGCACAGGAGTATCTGATCTATCTGATCTATAGCCCCAGTGTACTGTGGGCTGTGTGTGTCGATAGTATTATAAAACTGGCCCAAGGCAAAGTTACAAGCTTAGCTGGAGCATGAGATCTTGTTTTTTGTTTTTTTTCATACCTGAGTTATAGATGGCTGTCTTGTAAGGGTTGGATGTTCCTAATAGGAATAAAGGCAAGGGCCTTCCCGCTGTTGACTATGATGTCTATAGTTGGAAGAAAAAAGTTCTAATTTTGCTTCCTTTTTTTCCTAAAATATGCATTTTTGTGGTTTAGACTCCAAAGGATATGAAAGTTATAAACACTTGTTTGTCTTCCTCTGTCCCTGCTCTGTGCCTGATCCAGATTCTCTTCCCCAGAGGTAACCATTACCAGTTTGCTCGAATTTTCTTCTGAACAATATTTTATGCATATGTGAACAAATATGCACATACATCACCCTAAATTTTGACCAAAATGGCATGTATCATACATACTTTTTCCCTACTTTGTGTTTTTGAGACAAGAGTTTCTCTGTGTAGCCTTGGCAGTCCTCAAACTTGCTCTGTAGACCAGACTAGCCTCCTGCCTCTGCCTACTGAATTCTGCAATTAAAGGCTGTGTAACCTTGTTTTGAATTGATTATATCTTGAAGAGCCTTCTGTATATTATTAAGCCTTATCATTACTTTTGGTAGGGGCAAAGCATATAATGGTAGAGTAAGTCAGTGTGGACTTTGGGTTGTTTTCAGTGTCTTGTTTTTACATTTAGTGTGGGAGTGAATGACGTTACACAAATGGGCAGGAATGGGTTCTTGTAACATGAGGCCATTTTGACACAACCGCTTGTGTTAACCTGTCAGTTGTGTTGAGAGGAGTGAGAGGCAAGTGTGACAGGCTTTGCTGTTGTGAGGGATTGCTGAAAGCTCTTCCTGTTGATCGCCTAGTCTTCCACAGTGACCTGGTTAGGGAATGAAGGGAGACTGCGTCCTGACTGGGAAGTGCAGCTGTGGCTGTCACTTGCTGCTTACTGTGGCACACGTTAGAAAGCTGAGGGAGTAGGATCCATGTGGGCTCTTGTTGGATGGATTTGGGAAACACAGTCCCTTAGGGTGGTTCTCTCAACCTTCCAAAGGTTGTGGCCCTTTGATACAGCTCCTCATGCTGTGGTGACCCCAACCATAAAAGTATTTTTGTTGCTACTTCATAACTGTAATTTTGCTACTGACTTGAGTCGTATGATAAATAACTGATATGTGACCCCTGTGAAAGGGTCATTGGACCCCCAGGATGAGAACACTGCCATAAAATAAGGAGGTCACACTCTCCTTTTCTTCAAGGAAGTTGTTAATATTAGGTCAGAATAGCGAGGATGGTCTTACAATTGTAAACTGAAGAATGAACATAAATCAAACTAGTTTCCTTTTTTTTTTTGTTTTTTTTTTTTGTTTTGGTTTTTCGAGACAGGGTTTCTCTGTGTAGTTTCTCTGTGTAGCCCTGGCTGTCCTGGAATTCACTCTGTAGACCAGGCTAGCTTCGAACTCAGAAATCCTCCTGCCTCTGCCTCCCAAGTGCTGGGATTAAAGGCATGCGCCACCACCGCCCAGCCCAAACTAGTTTTCTAATGCACACTTTTTTTCAGTTGGAAGCCATAAGACTGACTGACTGACTTCCTTCCCTCCACTCTTCTCTTACCTCTTCCCTACCTTCCTCCTTCCTTCTTCCTTCTTTCTTTTCTTTCTTAAACAAAGGGTCTTGCTATGTAGCCCAAGCTGGCCTGAAACTCTCGATTCCCCCTGCTTTAGCTTCCCAAGTGTTGGATCACAGGATTGCGCCTTCATACCTGTTGGGAATTAGTTGTTGAACTGTTTAGAACATGAGCACAGACCCTGCCAGACTGTGGGTGTCTGCTACTGCCAGGTGCCTTCCAAACAGCCGCTGTCCTGAAGGAAGGAAGCCGTTACTGCATCATGAGAACTATTCTACACACTGAGCACTAGATGGTGCTGAGATAAGGCAGAAC